ATTTTTGATAATATATAGTTTTTAAAAACAATTTTTACGTCTAACATCTTTGAATATGTATCTTAGGTTATGCAGAAACTATGTATGAAAGGGACATGATTTTACGGTGAGATAAACAGGGTGTTTGATAGGTGCATATGATTAATTACAAGTTCCCTGATTTTATTTTTTAAGGAAAAAACACCTACCAGTTACAATTTTTTGAAAATTATTCAAGTAACTTTTTCTGCAGGTTTTTCTGGAAGTGTTAGCATAATATGCTTAACCCATTTTCCTTTATATGCTCATCCAATGACACTTTCTTCCAGTCAATAAACATAAATCAATACACTTTGCAAAACCTTAAATATCCAGTTAAACATGAATGGTACTTGCAAAAATAAGCTCATTTATGCAATAGTGAAACAGTTAACTCTTTATAAAATAAAAGTGCAGGGTTTTCATTTTCTAAGACTGACAAGCACATTATGAATACCACATTTTTTTCATACTACCAGGAAGTTTTAAAGCATGACCTTTGATCATGCTGACAAATGTATGGAAGGAATGGGAATAACCCTGACTCAGTATGACACCATCTGTAATAATTTCCAAAGAAGCAACTTCGAATGCAAGGCAGCAAGGACTTAAATCTTCTGATTTGAGTTTCCTTCTTTCAAAACTATGATGGCTAAGGTTCAAGTACCTTGCTCAGAACTATAAAAAGGCAATATAGGGCAAATGTATACTTTATACATATTATAGTTTTGTGCTTCAGGTGAGAACTAAATTGATTTGCTCTGTGATCCATTTATTTGTTTTCTTAGCTATCTATGGTAATCTCAAGAGTCTTTTCCAACACCAGAGTTCAGAAGCATCAATATTTTTTCTGCCTTGCTTTTTCAAAATCTATCTTCCACTTCCTTAGAGAGTCACAGGAAAAAAAATGTCTGCGTGATTCTGATCTTTGTGGCATTTTGCTATCTTCTTCAAAGCCTTTAGTGCTAAACTGCCAAGTGCCAAGTCTGCAGTGTAGTTCTTGACTGCTAGTTCCTTAACTATTGACAGTTGGTTTTAAAAGGCAAAAGCTATCCACTTCTTCAGTGTCTTCACTTTCATTTCTAAAGCTGGTTATTGTTCCTTTTGTCATTAGTTTGGTTCTTTTTATTTAATTGAAGTCCACTTTTTTTTCACTGGACCTCTTGATCATTTGCATGTTAGCATGACTGGATATAGGTATCACAGTCAACTTGGTTGCTTAGCCTAAACAGCTACATGAGTACTCTTATTTGATTCACACATTATATTCAGACAGCATATGTTTTATAGCTCAATATGACTAATATAATGTGCAAACATTTTTATTTATTCAGTATTGGAGAACCTGATGGTGCCACATGCAGATCAGGGAGCAATAGTTTAGTTGTGCAGATTCAGCCCTGAAGGCATATATCCTGGTTTTAGAGGAGGCTAAATATGTTTCTACAGTTGAAGTTAGTGTGATTGTTGTACTTTATCCTGAAAATGACCCAGCCACTGTAATGGTCCCTTCATTATGTCTCAACAGAGCCACTGCAACATATTACTGGGTTATATTTGAAAAGTTATCAGAAATTTTAATTGGATCAGAATGCCAAGGGTAGAGTGTCTATTTTTTGTACAACGGATTCGACCATTACTTTTAGACGTTCTTTTTGTTCGAGACTCATGTTAATCTTGGGTTGTTAAGTGGAGAATCCTAATATATAAAGCGTGATAAGAACAATTATATCGACATGAACGAGACAAAGACCCACGTTAAGAATTACGAACGATACTTGTCCCGAAAAGTTGGTCACCATGCCCATGGTGGACACCTACATTGGCACCTGGCAGATGGTACACGACCATCCTAGAAAAGTGGTAGCGGGGGAGGGGAATGAGAGCGCCGCTGGGCAGGCAGGCAAGTGTCTTGCTCGGCTGTGCTTTGGGGGGCACTTTTTTCAGTGCCATTGTAACTTTGAACAGTCACTAAGTGAACTGTTGTAAGTCGAGGACTACCTGTACTTTATCACTTTTTTCCTTTTGGGGGGGGTCATCAAGTTTTTGACACCTTGCTAGGCGACGTAGTACTCGGATATTGCCCTATCCTAAAAAGTGGTACAATGGGTGAAAGGGTTGAAAAGCCCTGAACTATACCATCGACATAGGATTAAGGCCATAGGGGGAGAATCCTCTCCTAGTCTGGCCATTTGTCAAGGGCATTAGCTTGAACTACACAAGGGTCCTGCCTGGTGACTGACTCTTATCTAATCTTTGGAAATTCTAATGATGATCAGTCTCTCCATTAACCTCCTGACACCTAAAATATTTTTAGCCAATACTTGTGGCACCTATGCAAGTTTTAGCAGCAGAGTAGTTAAAGGGAGAGTAAACTGTTTTACAATTTTGTTACTGTTCGTGGCCATTAAATTGATGAAAATTTTATTTGTCAAATTGATTTTCCATCTATCTCGCCTTGGGCTACTCTAGATGGCAAAATGAAATTTGAACATGATCCAGACAAATTCTTCTATGCGTGAAACCTTTATAAGTCAGCAGAAGAATACTGCTGTTGAACAGCTATTTTTAAAATCTAACCTGTTCCTTAAATTATTAATTTTCCATCAATCTGATCTGTTCCAGGCACGAAGAATCATTCAGAAGGTACAGTGGGAGTGGGATTCCTAATAGTTGTGGAAGGAACCAATAAATGTTCTCTCCCACTTTCATCTGGCACTCTAAGAAAACTGTCCACTGAATACCAAGGCCATCAGAAAAACTGGAATGCTATTAATTGAAAATTGAATTCATTGTCTGGGTCAGAACATGTTATTGCAGATGTGACTCAATTGTCTCTGACAGTTGTTGCAACAGTAAATAAACTCAGAAAAAAGTGGGACTATCATTTCTCTAGCGTCTCTGGTGATACCTAAAATATAAAACATCAAGAAACACCGACCTAAAAAACTACGTCTATAAATCAATACATGAAGGTTGATCAACCCTACCAAAAGTATTCTTCATTCATCAGATTTAAACATCCCCACCAATTCTACTAAAGCATAAGCATGTTTCTTATAAAGGAGTAATAATTTAAAACATTATTGGAAAGATGCTAAGAAATCTTAATTCATTGTGGAATAATAGCAAGTAATTATTTGTATTATTTGAAATAATAATTATTTGAAAATTATTTTCAAAGGAACTCTTGAGTGTTCTCAATACATTTTTAAGCTGCCCAAGGTGTGCTAGGAAGTGAAGAAATGATTGTATACAGGTAGTCTTTGACATATGACTGTAATTGAGCCTAGGATTACAGTCCCACACCATGGTGGTTGTTAAATGGGTCACATGACCATATCTGACCTTTTTGCAGTGGTCATTAAATGGTCCCATTTTCACCAATGGCATTATTTTGCTGGAAAACGGAAGTAAACTCCAGAAACTGACAAAAAATACTGAAAATTGTGGTCCTGTGACCACAGGACATTGCCAACAGCCATACTGTAAATCAAGGGTGTCAAACTCCCAACGTCACGTGACGTGTTACGACGTGTTGCGACTTTTTTTCCATTCCCGGCAATAAGGTGGGCGCAGTTTCGCCATGATACATCCAGACTGCGGGCTGGCAGTTTGACACCCCTGCTGTAAATGTAAGCCTGTTGCCACGTGCCCAAAACATGATCATGTACTGCGTGCAACTGTCGTAAATTCAAAAATGGGTCATAAGCAGCTCTGGGGAGGTTGGTTGAATGGTTCCTAAGTGACTAGTCATTGAGGGCTACAGGTTGTCTTTGACCTAAACTGTAATGGAGCCTGCCCGTTATGGTCATTACGTCATGATAGTTGTAAAGTGCATAACTCAACCAGATTTTACCTTTTTTTGCGATGGTCATTAAGTGGGCCCATTGTTCACAATGGGTTGCTTTTGCTGAAAACTGGAAATACGTTTTCCACAAAAATGTTGTAAAATAGTCATGTGATTGTAGGGCACTACAAATCGCTGTAAATCAGCAGTTCTCAACCTATGGGTCGCGACCCCATTTGGGGTCGATCGACTATTTCACGGGGGTCGCCAAGCAAGGCTGTCCGCCATTTTTTTTGTCCATTTTTCCCCCTTTTCCGGTGGGTGCCTTACCTCCCTTGGGCTGGGCCAGCTGGTGGTCGGCCTGCTCCGACTCTGCCACTTGCCAGCTACGCCTCGGCCGGAGCAGGGGGCGGAACCACGCATGCGCGGTGCTCCCGGGCAGGGAAAGTCCTCGACTTATGACCGGTTGGGTAGTCCTCGACTTACGACCGGTTTAGTCCTCGACTTACGACCGGTTGGGGGTCACGGCATTAAAAAGGTTGAGAACCACTGCTGTAAATGCAGGCCAATTGTTGAATACCCAACTTCACGTGATCGGGGGGGGGGCTGCCATCTGAACTGGGTAAGTAGCTTTGGGGGAGGTCCGTCTTAATTTTGGTCACTAAGTGACCAGTTGCAAGTCAAGAACTACCTGTATTCAGTGACCAGTCCCTCTTCCAATTTGTACCTAGAATAATTATCTGACTCCCTTCTATAGGGAAATAGGAGGTGTAATAACGAGTTAAAATACTGGGCTTGTTGTCTGAAAAGCCGGCAATGCAGGTTGGAGACCTGAGCATCAGACAAAGGGATGAGCTCCTGTCCTCACCCCAACCCCTGCCAATCTAGCAATGTGAGTAGATAGGTACTTCAATGGGAAGGTAACAGCGCTGTTGTGCAAGCCACATGACCATGGAAATGTCTTCAGACAGCGCTTCAATGGCCTTGAAATAGAGATGAGCACCAACCCTAAGCCTGAAACATCATAAATTCTGCAGGGACTCTTATATCTTTTCTTAAATCTTCTATAGAGAAATAGTATGCAGAAATGAACTGAGTTTCATCAGCTGCTTGATTTCATTTGAAGTGAATTCTTTTTCAGCAACAGCATCATGTCACAAGAACCAGGTCATTTTTCATTTTTTTAATAAATATACATCTCACAAGTAAGAAAACTATTCACAAAATTTACAAAGTATACATGATATACATATTACAAAGCATAGGGCTTCCAGTAGACAGCCTCTATGACATCCCTATCCTTCTAGTAGATGGACAAGCAATCAGTCTGAGGATTGCCAAAATTCTTCTTCTTCTATGCATAACAAAGAGCTCCTACTCAGTCCTTGGAACAGGTTATCAGTCAAGCAAACACATATGGAATGTCTTCCCAAAAGGCACAAGAGATGATGGATCTAGCCAGTCCTGTTGCAGAGCGTACAGTGAAAACGTAGGTAGACTCTACAGTTCTCAATTCTTCTTCTCTGACGTAAATGAGACCATTGTCGATATCTACTGTTACACTACCAATCTCACACACGGGTATCTGAACTCAGCCACTTTTGGCATCTTGCTGTTTTCACAATGTTCTTTTCTACGCGGCCGGCGATTGCAGTAGTTCTGTAACTGTTCACATGCTTGTACTTGTCATCTTTCATCAATTCTCCTCTTCTAACAAGACACGTGCTGTCCGCCAATAATGCAGTCATCATAGAGAAGCTAGACAAGGGAAATTAAAAAAAAAGTCAGTTTATGGATTCCTTTAAATATAGGTCTATATTTTTAGTAAATGCTTCTTCCACACTGCACAAATCAATGCACCATTAATTTTTACTGAATACTCGCAAGAAAGTTAGCATCATATTTTACATCAATCTGATTTCCAAAAATCTAAGGGTAACAGTGACTGAAACAGTCAAGAAGCTCTGCTCTGTTTTGGGGGGGTTAACACACAACTACTTGGTAGTCCTTGACAATGTTGTCATTAACTTGGACCTTAATGTTAGCAATTCAACACGACCAGTATTTTAGTACAAAGACACGGACTAAAAACGTCGTCAACAATTCGTTTGGGTAACAGACGTTACCCATAACAAACGACCTTTAGTTTCGTTTATGTCTTTTTTTTACATTTAATACCTGTGTACTACGACGTTTACCGGAATTTAAGCCCCAGATTGCTGAGTGCCCAAATGTGAACATAGGACCCTCCGTAGGTTTGTGTGCATGCATGCATAACTTCAAATCTGTCTCATAAGTACCTTTTGGGGAGTCACTAGCTATGTATTTTTATCAATGTCTTACTTATGTGCATTTAAAAAAGCAACTTAGTACAGCAATTTGCTTGATGCAAGTGCACTGAATCAGAAACTTTTCTACATCTTTCTGTATCCAAAGGTTTATTTTGCAGATGACTGTAAATAATTTAATTGACTAGTAAAATGATTTAAGGAACTGAAGGCAATTATAATCTATTAATGGACAATACATTTTCATACTTCTTGTCTCATAGGAAAAATATATGAAAATTATAGTGTAATTCTAGCTGCACAGAAAGAACCACAACTTACTTCATCTTCTGTATATTCCAATTCTGATTCACAGCTTTCTTCATCTTCACTTTCTGGTAGCATCTGCAAATCCAGTGTGGTAAATTGTCTCAACTGTTCCTGTATGGAGGAGTTATTTCTTCCCCATGTAAGCTGGTATGGAGAATAGCCCTGGTAGGTTACTTTGTTCACATCTGCTCCGTGCTTCAACAAAAGGGACACCAGTCCTTCATTCTGCAAATCTACAGCCAAGTGCAAGGCAGTTCTACCATTGCATGGCTCCTGTTTAGTGAAAAACAAAAGGGAACATTTAGTTAGCAATGGAAAAGGCATCAGAGTTACTTTCAAAATAACGAGGCGGTCTGCTTATTTTGCCTGGATAGAAACCTACCTGAGCATTGACATCTGCTCCCAAGGACAGAAGACGTTCTACAATGGCCAGGTATCCTTGAATAGAAGCCAGGTGGAGACAGGTGTGACCTGTTAAATAAGCACAGGTGAGAGAAAAACATGATTATTTCCTCTGATAAGGAATTGCTCCAAAATATTGGCTGTAATTTTGAAAATCATACATATTATAATATTCTATTCGTTATTTAGCATAGCTTGTCTAAATGAAGTAGTTTGATGTGTTAGGCTTAATTATCAGTTGGTCTTTGAATACTATTATTCCCAAAAAGAAAACTTCATTTGCACATGTAATACTTCCCATAAACCTGTCCCACAGGGGAATTCTCAGAATTTTCAACTAGCACAGACTGTGATCTCAACAATCTAAAGGGAACTCATTTTGGGGAATGCCACTGTACAGAGGCAAAAGAAACCATGCACTTCTTACTTTACAATAACTTTCAAAGAGAATGTAAGCCAACACTGCGAATCAAAAGGCAACAATATGATGCCAAGGTCAGCAATGCTGCAGTGGAGCCATCCAGCCAATGTTTGCACTTACCGCTGTAGTTTGCTGACTGTAGGAGAGAATGGAGCTGAAGCTTCTGGCAATACTGTATAAGAACATTAACTCCTCTGAGGGACCCTTGTTCACAAGCAATGTGGAGTGGCGTGTTTCCTCGGAAATCTCTGATTTCTGCATCACATCCTGCTTTCAGAAGAGACTCTGCAATTTCAGGCTGATCAGTGATTGCCGCCAAATGAAGTGGAGTCTACAAAGTATAAGTGACAAAGTAAGGCAATCTGCTAGAAAAACACAATCTCTTTGCTATACATATTGCCATACAGCCCTTCATTTATTTCAGTTAGTGATTCCTGCTCTCTCTCTCTCTCTCTCTCTGTGTATGTGTGTGTGTGTACACGTGCATGTTCAGGATCAGCAGTTTTAAAGAAGTCTTTTTAAAAAATACAATTTTATTTTATTCATTAGATTTACAGACTCTTTTCTCCAGGAAGTGAAGGCACTGTGCATGTTACTCTTGCACTTTTTCTCAGAAAATTTTGTAAAATAGGTTAAGTTGGGAAACAGTGATTGGCTAAAGTCTTCCAGTGAACTTGCAAGGCTGAAAGAGGACCTAAAACGTTTCTCAATGTTTTGTTTTTGTCTTGGAATGCATTCTCCAGCATTTTGAGAAGCCTTAAGTAAAGCACCTTTTGTGGCTCTCTCAACACACAAACTAAGAATACCTCCTTACTTTTGAAAGCCTTTCTTTCTAAATGCTTGTGAAAATATGAGACTAGTGTGCAAAGCTGGAGCCTTTGGGCCAATAACCATTTTTGCCACCAACCATGGAAAGCCACTCTTAACTCAGTGTAGTGAAATCCAAGAATCCTTAAATATTCTTAGCATAAAATATTCTTGGCAATGGACAAACAAGTTTAAGAAAAAAATATTTGCTCTTTGACACTAATGAAGCTATTTCTGTATGTAATTTTGTATTTATACTTTTTTACAATGTTCTCTTACTGTAACTTTCTTTCATCTATTGTTTTAAAAGTTTATTTGAAATTGTCTCCATGATGTCTACAGCACCATGTCCGACCCCTTGCAGGCTTCAAGTGAAAACGAAAAATAAAACGAAGAAGGTACCTGATTGAGGTTGTTCTGGAAATTCAAAAAAGCCTTATCCCGTCCCGCTTGGTGAATGATTTCCAAACTTAAGGATTTTTCTTCATGAATAATAGCCAGATGGAGAAATCTGCAAGAGGAAAACAGTGGGAAAAACCCAATGATGAGCCCCCAAAAATTCCAGAATAAGCGAGTGCTCTTTATCACGTGGACAAGGTGCCTGCTGGAGTCACAGGGGAAAGAAGGCGATTTCGAAAGCCTGGGTTTTTCAGGGCCGCGCATTGCTGCAGCCTGGTATTTTCCGTGGAGAAGCTGAGTGTTCCGGGCAAGGCGCCAGGGACTTTCCAGCGCACTTCACCCAGCAACCCCGCCCGGCGCCTTCGTGCTGGCTCCTCCCTCTCACCGCTAGTACACCAAGTTCCACAACCTGGTCACCAGCCAAGTACAAGCAAGCGACGTGGGAGGGGAAAACCCAGTTTCGCAAAAAACCCCGGGATTTTTTTTTTTTAGCTAACCAAAAGGAGGGGCATCAAAGGAATCATTCTTCCCAAACGCCCCTCGGCTTCCTTCGTTCGTTTCTAGGGATCAACGCGGAAATTCCCAACTCACTTCCCAATCCCGACGCAATGACAGGAAACCAAAAAAAAGGTGATTCAGATTACATGGGTCGGATGTCAACTTAGGTTTGAATTTTATTTTTATTTTTTAAATTAAAGGCGCCGGCGCTCAGCTACTCGGATGCCCCTCTTCCGAAACCACCAGCCGTAATTTTTTGAACGAAACAATTACGCCAACATCCGTTTCTCACCACGGTGTAAATACATATTCTCAAGGGATCCAAGCACTTAAGCCCCATTTCATCTGCCCGTCTACGAATGCAAAAGGGCCTGCCCGTGGTTTACAAATCTCCCTCGATCCCCCTCGGCCACCCTTTCCTTGGTCATTTTTCTCCCTTCTGCTATACTTCTAAAATGGAATTTGAATTCTGAATTGGGGGGGGTGGCGAGGAAGATCAAAGAAATACTGAAAGGCAACGTGGAACCGCTTGAACCGCGGCAGAAGCTCGCCCAGGGCCACTCAGAAGTCCATCTTTACGCCCTATTTTCCATTTAACTTTCTCCCTCCCCCACCAAGGCAGGATGAGGTTTGCGAACGTCAAGTGTGACATTCACGGAATGTACTTTTTGCCGTAGCCAACAACCTGAACCGAGAGAAGAGGGCTCGCTTTCAACCTACCCCCGCGCCCGCATTTGGAACCGGCATCCCAAGACTTACGTGTCTCCATCTTCAGTCCCTTGCTGTTTCCAAGTCTGGGTTAAGTGGTCCGCGTCGGCCTCCATAGGCTGGATTCGAATATCTTCCAATTCCCGGACGAGATTTTCGTACTCATCGTCCTTCATGGAGCCTAAGCCGCTGTCGTGCCTGTCGTCCTGGATCAGGCTGAGCTGCCTGTCCTTCTTCAGCATTTCCCGGGGGTGCACGTCCATCGTAAAATCCATGGGGTAATCCAAAGTACTGGGACTCAGCATGACCTTCTGCGAGTGCGCGCAAACGCTGAGTCCGGCGCTCGCTCTCCGCTTCAACTAGTTGCAAACTCTTCGGAGATTCTGGCGGGCGGGCGGCAGCGCTCGCCTATAGAGCTTCAGCAAAGGGGATTTTTTTTGCGGGGCGGAGCCTGGGCGGCTGGGAATTTCCCAGCCAAGTAGAAGGCGAGGTTTCAACTAGTCTGGTCCTGCTTGAAGGCTGCTGTGGAGGAGCAAAGGGTGCCCTGGCTGAGGAATTCCCTCCCTCAGTCATTCTCTGGATATTTTTTTTTTCTCCTTTTTTTTTTCTACAGAAGGGAAAGTTCTTTCGACTGTACAACCCGACGTGATTAAGGCCGTTCCGCACCTTGCGCTTGCCTTTCCTCTGTGCAATTCCTTGCGGATTTGCATGGATTGAGGGTAAGCAAAAGCTTGCCATTTCCCAAACCCCCGTCTTTGGGAATTCCACTCCCCCCCCCGTCTTTGGGAATTCCACTCCCCCCCCCATTCGACTGTAATTTCTTTTCAGTTTGGAAAAGTTGCTGGGACTCTCTCGCAGGGCGAAACGTGGGGGAAATTCCTTTGCATTGCAAAGGCGTTCTTGCAGGGGAAGGAAGGGGAATCTTAAGCCGTACATTTGGGGCAGCACCTCAACTTTTCCTTGGCAACGGAAAGCACTGCAGTTTTTCTTCGTTTGCACATAGCAATTTTTGCTCATGTTTGAAAGTTGCTAAATGTTCGCGGCTTCCTTGGTCTTTTTAACTGTTGCAAGGCATTGAAGGCATTACCTGCAGTTGTTTCCAGGACTTGCCCCGGAGCTTCGTATTATTTTGCAGTACAAAATGCAACAAGAAGAACGTGTTTTGCGGGAAAAAAACCAACAACCATAGGTGTGAAGAAAAGTGACATGCATTTGGGAACGCAAAGCCACCCTCCTTAACTACACCCCCCAAACCCTAAAAGGTTAGAAGTGCATTTGAAGGGAGCCTGGGTCCGTCAGCTGCTGGCTTGCCTTTTGCGATTTTAGCCCTGCGAAATGCCCAGTTTTTCTGGGCGATCTTTGAAGAGAAAGGGGGGCTCCTTTTCTGCCCGAGGGAAGACAGCTGATCTCAATTTAAAATGTCTGCAGTGCCACCTAGTGGAGTTGACTAAAACACCATTTCTTAAGCTCAGCAACTTTTAAGACGCGTGGACTTCAACGCTCAGGGAAACCCCCCAAAGCCTGTGTTCCTAAGTCCTTCCCATCTTGTTTACTAGCGGTTGCTAAAGGAGGCATCTGAATTTTCTTATGTGTTAGGAAGAAAGCTGTGTATGCGTGTGTGTCTTTCTGCTTTCCTGTTGGGTTGCACTTAATATATGCATGCTTCTGTGCACTGAGGCAGGGCTTGTCAACCTTTTCACCCATTGTACCACTTTGAGGATATGGCAATATCCGAGTACCGCCAGTCGCCTAGCAAGGTGTCAAAAACTTGATGACACTCCCCCCCAAAAAAGGAAAAAAGTGATAAAGTACAGGTAGTCCTCGACTTACAACAGTTCGCTTAGTGACTGTTCGAAGTTACAATGGCACTGAAAAAAGTGCCCCCCCAAGGCACAGCCGAGCAAGACACCTGCCTGCCCGCCCAGCGGTGCTCTCATTCCCCTCCCCCGCTACCACTTTTCTAGGATGGTCGCGTACCACCTGCCAGGTGCCAATGTACCACAGGTGGTACCCGTACCACTGGTTGAAAAGCCCTGCACTGAGGAACAAACCAAGCTCCACATGCTCTGCTCTGGGTCAAAGGAGGTAACTAGTCTTAAAATAGAGCAATCAGTGATGTACCAGACCCTGCCCACAGGAATTCAGGGAAAATATTTTGGGAGGAAATGTTTTTTTTTTCCTGATCCCTTCTCTACATAATTTCTTTCTGATGTTATGTTGGATTGAAAAAAACAAAAGAAAAAAAAAAACCTTCAGTCCAGAACTTTTCAACACAGTCTAGATCAAAAAGGAGGAGTCTGGATAAGAATACTTCTCTTCTTTCCCTGTTTTATATGTGCTTCTGCCAGTTGCCAAGATAAAAGCTTGCATACTGTTTTCATTGAGCCCTGCAGAAATATTGCCCAAATTACCTGTGCAACCCCTCAGAGTTTCATAAAAGAGGGAGTTGTGGCACTTACTAAAAAGGCTCATGACAAAAAAAGCAGTGGGCAAGTTGTGCTTGCTGAAAATCCCCTGCTCCACAGCTCTTTTCACTGTAAGAACTTTCTCTTGCTGTCAGCTGGCATCTTAGTTGTTTACTGTTCATGATAAGAAATAAGCCACTCATTTTCTCTTACGGAGAAAGGAGCCACAGTGGTGCGGTGGTTAGAATGCAGTATTGCAGGCTAATTCTGCCCACTGCCAGGAGTTCGATTCTGACCAGCTCAAGGTTGACTCAGCCTTCCATCCTTCCAAGGTCAGTAAAATGAAGACCCAGATTGTTGAGGACAATGTGCTGATTCTGTAAACCGCTTAGAGAGGGCTGTAAAGCATTATGGAGCGGTGTATAAGTTTAAGTGCTATTGCTGTCTAGCTGTGCAACTGACTGTTCCTAGTTGAGCAACACTATGAGATAAATATTTTAACCTGTGGTTTCATCTTTGCTAGAGGCTTCTTTTATTACATTCTTTATTTGATAGGTAATGTACCTGTCAATAACTTCTAAGCCTTAAAGGAAACCAACAATTTTGGCTGGAAATAAAGTAAAAAGAATGCTGCTGAGGGGCAAAATGTCATGCTTGATGAGGTTTACATGCTTGATATGTGAGAGCTGTGCGTGTAAGTATGAGAATCTCGGCTATATTGTTCAGAAATATGAAGATAAGGGCTTTATATAATATAACTCTTGTGTGTTGTTAATTAACACAAAGTGTAATACTTTTGAAAGGCAAATTAATTACTGCAATAGATATTTTCCAGCCTATATTTTCATTCTGCACATTTAAAAATGGAAGATTAAAAGAGATGAAATGACCCATTAAAACAGTCTCCTTCAGCTTGAAGTCAACTCTTAGTGGCCTCGTAGACATGTTTTGCAGATGTTGTTACTTGATTTGCTCCTTCCTTAAATTGCACTTCAACTAAACATGATTTTTCACTAGAAAGGAGTCTTGTTGACCAGCGATAAGATAGGAAACTGTACTTCAGGTTCACTGGATCTGCAGTCCGGCATGTTCATGATGATCTGGACTCTTCTAGAATGGGTGGGGATGAGAAGGGACCTTTAGGTCAGGGGTATCAAACTCGCCGCGTCACGTGACATGTTGCAACATATTGCGACTTTTTTCCCCTTGCCAGAGTTGCGGTGGGCGTGGCTTCCACGTGATGCATCCGGGCCCACGGGGCCTGCAGTTTGACACCCCTGCTTTAGGTGTATGGGTGAGTCTATGCTTTTTCTTGCAAGATCTATTGAGGTGAGCAAGGTGGGAGCTGGTGTTCTCTGTAGCATAAGTCTGCCACCTGCAGGCAAGGTCCAAATCCTGCATGACCAGGCAGGGTGGTGTGCACCTGATTGTAGGAGTTAATGTTAGTTTAGCAGAGGGTGTTTTGGCTCCATATCGGAAAGAGACAATGGTGTGCCCCCTCCTGAAGAAACCATCTCTTGATCTGACTGTATTCAAAATTTTCTACTAGTCTCTAATCTTTCCTTTAGAATAGAATAGAGCTGGAAGGGACCTTGGAGGTCTTCTAGTCCAGCCCCCTGCTCAAGCAGGAGAACCTATACTATCTCAGACAAGTGACTGTCTAGCCTCTTCTTGAGAAACTTAATGGAGGTCAGCTACAGATGATCTTAGAGGAAATGGATTATCTAGGACAATGTTTCTCTTAAGATGTTGACTTAAATTCCCAGAATTTCTCAGCCAGCTGGCAATTCTGGAAATTGAAATGTACACATTTTAAAGTTACTATGTTAGAGAAACACTGATGCAGAACAAGGGTTTTTCTAACTTATTAGTAAAAACAAAATAATAATAAATAAAAAATTCCTGGAAGTCGTGATCAGGAGGCAAAGCTCTAGAGCAGGGGTCTTCAAACTTGGCCCTTTTATGACTTGTGGACTTCAACTCCCAGAATTCCTCAGCCAGACACGCTGGCTGAGGAATTCTGGGAGTTGAAGTCCACAAGTATAAAAGGGCCAAGTTTGAAAACCCCTGATCTAGAGATTAAAATTTGGCTGTGTTCAAGTGATATTTTTTTTTTTTGCTCTTAGTCCCTCACACAGTCCCATCCGGTTCTCATGGCGCCTTTGGGCTCTGTAGAATACAGTTTGATCAGCAGTTCCAATAAGTTCTGCCATCTGTCTACATAGCATTGATTTAAATGACTGCAGATTTTTTATCAACCAACTTCCCTTCTGTTCCCAAATCACTTTCTCTCCAAGGTTCTAGCTATGAGGCACTCTTCCTCTCACTCTCTACTCTCTTTCTCCTATCCAGGGTGCAGTCTTCTTATTTCAATCAATTTTTTTCCTATACTAAGAGAGGTCTCTCTCATATGAGGGTTATTTTAAAAGAGTTATTGCATTTGATCTGCAAAACTTCTTCTGATCACTACATGGCACTGTTAGACTCTGAGTGTTCCTTTAATTCTTGCTGCCATGTAGTGAATGCTCAGATTTTTTTTTGCACCAGAGACTGTAGTCTTAATCTTAAGAGGCAGTAAAGAAGAAATTGAAAAAGTAAAATAAAATACAAGTAAATAAAAGATATTTCATGTCTAATAAAACCACAAGTCATTGATACAAATATATTGCTCCATTTTAAATCAGAATGTTTTCTATTATATTTTATATTATACAAACATCATGATTTTTGAACCCTTAATTTATTGCTTAGTCATTGTGCTATCCCAGCCATTTGCAGCCTCAGTAATACTACTAGTAATTCATCATGTTCATTTTTCTGCAGGTATTTACAATCTAGAGTAGTGCAGCCACTGGACTTTCCATTCTCATTTAACCACAGGCATATCTAATGACAACAAGGGTTTCACTTTGAATATTCTTAATTTAAAGTAGAAATTAGGATTTGTGCTTGAGGCAATAGCTTCAGAACAACAAC